TACATCTCTTTATTAAGGTCTCTTTGAGGACATCTGCATGTAAACACCACATTGCAACAGTGTCCTCTGCCAGCATTACATATCATACCAAATAATTGCATCAGTAAAGACAAGAGTACCTAAAAAGATGTGCATATGTCCTCTTCATGCCTTATGAAAAAGTAAAAATAGTAAATAATATTTGAAACTCTGTCTGCCTTTAACCACTCATTCTGTGTTACTGGTAGAACAAGAGGCCACAGGGTCTGGTGGCAAGCTGGAGTCTCATCTGAACACACTGTTTCCCTCCGTCTCCCTTCTTTGGCAAAGACGAGAGCAATGACAGAAGGCAAGGCATGGAGTGAGCTGGGTGGAATGGAAATTCTGTTCAAATGGATGTTTAACATTTTGAAACTTGCTTCCTCTCCAAATTGCAAAAAAAAATTTGATTTTTTTTTCTCTGTGAAATGGAAGATCTGGGAGGAAAAAAGAAGACGAGGTAATCTGATGTCACGGAAGTGTGTAGTTTCAAAGCAGATATGTTTTGCTGGAAGAGAAATGTCAAGGCAAAAAGATTCAGCCAGTGTCAATTGGACAAATTTTTGCCATACCAAAGCAGAAAGTCCCAACAGCATCAACTATGAAAAAGTCAGAATGTTTCTTTTAACTTTTTTCCCTTTGAAACTTCTGTCCAAACCGACACATTTTCTTAAAACACATTGATGTGTTTACTTGTTTATTCATATTTAATGACTGAAAAATTTCTCTCAAAAATATCCCAGATGGTAATCTCACAACAAAAGCTGGTGCTCTCTGTGTGGAGACATCCTGTAGTGATCAGCAGGGCAATAAAGACGGATTTCCAGCTTTGTGGCCAGATCCTGTTGGCAGAAGAGGCTTTATAATCCCAGATATCCTGGGACAAGAGTTACAGGATCCTCAGGGAAATTACTTTTACCCATTTGAGCCCATCTGCAGCAGCTGGAGATCCTATGAAGTGGGACACTTTACAAGTCTAGAGGACTTGTCTAGAGAAGCACCAGGAAGGAGGCACATGACATGGACAACATCTTCTTCAGTTGGGCTTTCTGAGCATGCATGACTGAGCTTGTGACACCTACAACTCACCTACAAAAGCTACCTTCTGCAAGTCCGGGGGGATGCTCTCCAGACCTGGCTAAAAGCATTTGAAAAATGTGCTCACAGTTTTGACTCACTTCTTAAAAAGTATAAACCTTTTCTCCTATTTAGTCAGGAAATTATGAGCTTGCTTAATAACCTCTATATAGTGGAAGAGCAATGAGCAAGTCACTCCTCTCAAAGAGAGAAAATGCTTGAGTTTTGAGAGGCTTTGACAGACCCAGAGCTGCCAGCTACAAGGAACACACGATGGATTTGTGTTCAACGATCCAGACAGCCGGAAAGTCCAGCACTGTAACCACAAACTGCCCATAGCAAGTGTCTCGCTCATCTGTCTCAGTTGCCGTATTGATTGAAGACTGTAATCATCCTGCCTGCATCCAGGTCCTGCCGACAGTGCACCAACTTGCTGTAGTTGCATTGGGCTGAGAGATAAGGTGGCAAAAAGGAAAATTGGGAAAAAGAAACAAAATAGGTTAATTTTGGGGAGCCAATTACATATTCCCTGTAACCTTTATATTCAGTTTGTGAGCTTTTCTATTAGTGTCATTTTGCACGGCATTCATTTCACTTTAGTAGTCAAACACCATATGGAATTGAATAATCAAACATTGTATTTAAAGATATTGAAATGAAACATCCTGACTCATTTGGAGTTTTTTTTTTCTTTTTTTTCCTTTCTCTGTCTCTCTCTTTTTTTTTTTTTTTTTTAGTAGACCTGAATATTTAGTTTCTGTGGAAAACATGACATAACTGGTTGTTAGTCTACCTGCTTTGCTGGCACTTATAAAAGCAGAGACTCTCAACCAGTGACCATGGAGCATGAGCTCCCTGGGCAAAGCTCTGCAGAGATGTTTGCTCTGAATTTTGCCGCACCAAGGCAAAGACCTTGGTCTTGGAGGAAGTTCCTATTTCTTCAGCGCTAGAAAGGAAAAATGGAGAAGGACAGACCCATGCCCATGGAAACAAGGAGCTGATGATGCATGTCAGTCACGTAGTGCAAACTAGACTAAAAGCTAGCCAGACAAGTTAAGTGTCTAATTTGGAAATATCATTTCTTGTAATGTTTGTACTTATGAGAAAATATTATTTCTGAGGTTTGTTGTGTTCACTAAGTACACTATCCAATTACTTTACACTCAGCTTCACATCCACAAAGTGTTTTGGCTTGATTCACCAGAGAGAAGATCCATGGGACATTACTCAGGTAATGGCCTATTGGGTGAGCTGTTATGTCACTTGTAGGCTGTGTACCTCTGGTAAATCACATAATAGGCCCCTATGAGGCCACACAGTTGGACGTCTCAGCAAATTGGGGGACAGTTGCATTTTACAGGCAAAATCTTTCCTCCAAAGTCTTTATGAGATGAATATTGAACATGGGTCACTAGCCATCCTCTTTTTCTGATCAGGTATTGTCAACCGATGCACAGAGGAAAAAAACAAACAAACAAAAAAAAAAAAAAAAAAAAAAAAAAAAAAAAAAAAAAAAAAAAAAAAAAAAAAGAAAAAAAAAAAAGAAAAGAAAAAAAAAAGCTTTCTCCAAACCGGCAGGTGCTGGCTGTGGACAATCTGAGATTGCCCGGCAGATGATCTCAGAGGGAACACAAAGCTGAGACTGAACCATGTGGCTGATATCAGAAGCATCTGCTCCCTGGTTCATTCGTAGTTATGCTGCTCTCCTTGGCTGGAAGCACTGAACTCTAGGGTCCATCTTTACCTCTGTACTTGAAATATTTGTGGTAAGGAAGGGAGCTGATGGAATCTTCCCTGTCTGTTGTTGAGGCCAAATAAGGCTCACAAGCATTTGGATTCTCATCTTTTCTTGAAGGAACACCCTGTGGGGGGATGCTTTGAAGCTCTCCTAGGGTAGAGGAGAAACTGAGAGAATTGAGGAGAACTGAGAGAATTGAGCTGAAATTGAGACTAACTAGAAATGTCTTGAAGGAGTTTCTGGTTCGATCATCTGTCACCTTGTGCCTCTGAGGAGGAGGGAGGTGAGGAATGTTGAGTCCTGGGGAATTTCTCTTAAGTTTCTGTGTAACTCTGGGGACAGGATCATGGAGTAATTACCCTTGCAGTGGCACCAGGTTGGGGCTCTGCAGATCGATTATCAGATTATCAGATGGACTAGGCAGAAGCTATTATGATCTGTGTGGGAGTTCTTGATTATGTGCCTATTGCTTTGGCTTGTGAAGGCCCAGGCCCCTGTGGCTGAGAACCCTACCTTTCTTTGCATATATACTTAAGGACATTGCCAGTTAAAAAGTCTGTCATATTAACTATAGATAATAATCATAGCCATAAGGTAGGGTCCCTATGGATAATGACATTTCTTACTTGGCTGTGCTGAGCCTGGACTGCTGGAGGACTTCCTTGACTATCATACTCCATGCTCCCCAAACTGAGGAAAAGAGTTCTGGCTCTTCACAGTTCTAGTTTCTTCAACTGCTCGCTCATTCTTCCCTGCTCCTTAAGTTTGAGTAGTTCCCTCTCAAACTCCAGAAAATCAGAGGAAGGTGACCCTGTTAACACGTCGTGGCATGGGGAGGCCCCACTGTCCCCAACTCTGAAGGGAATCACATTATGAGCAGGGGGTGCCAGGTGCTGCACAATGAATCCAAAGTATGGGTCCTGCTCAGGTCTACAATACTGGAATTGAAGCCAGCAGGCAGATCTTGAAAGAGCTTGTACCTGCCCAGGAAATCAGGCTGCCCACCTTTTGTGGGCTCCCTGCTGCCCTGCACAGACCCCCATCCCCTCCAGGCAGTGCCAGCGTGGTCAAGGCACCAGCGCTGGGAACACTGGCGGACCCGGAACAAAGGGCTTTGTTTCCCTTGGATTCCCCGGGGCAGAAGCCGAGTGGGGGCCGCCCCCAACCCCCGACTCCCCTCCGCAGGAAGTCGCATTTCGCCCCCTCTCCCCCAAACACCGCACACGGCTTCCCGGGAAGCGCCGGGCAGCTCTTGCGGGAGGATACAGGATGCGGAGCAGGGAGCAGCGGGCGGCGGGGGGGCCGACACCCCCGCAGCCCCGCGGAGGAGCAGGAGAGGCAGAGGGAGGCCGCGTGAGGGCGAGCGGGGAGGGCAGGAGGAGGAGGAAGGAGGGACCGTGTCGGGTGGGATGGTCCGGAAATCCCGTGATAAAAAGAGGGGCGCGGGTTTGGGGGGGAAAGTAAGGAGAAGCCCCGGGCTCATTCCCTCCGCCGTGCCCCTCTCAGCTCAACTTCCCCGCGCGCCGCACATGGGCTGGAGCCGCTAGCAGCGGGAGCAGCGCGGAGCAGCGCGGAGCAGCGCGGAGCGGAGCGGCCTCCCCGCGGCGCCCGCGCCCGCCGCAGCCCCGCCAGGTACCGGCGGCTCCGCGAGCGGCCCCGGCACTGCGAGCGCCCGGGAGGGCAGCGCTGCCGCCGGCCTCGCGGGATGCCGGGGAACCCTTCTGCTCCTCCTGCCGCTGCTGCCTCTCCTGCTGCTGCTTCTCCTGCCCTGGGCCAGCTGCCGCGGGGAGGAGGGCGGCGCGGTGCTGGTGCTGATGCCGGTGCCGCTGCCCTGCTCGGCGGCCCCGCGCCGTTCGCCGCCCGCTCCGGGGCGCCTGGGGTGCCCCTGTCCCCCCGCCGCAGGGCAGCAGCGCCTGCCCTGCTCTGCAGAGCGCTTCACCTTCAAACGCCCCCGCCGCGGCCCCGCTGTAACGCCCGGGCCCCGCTGTGTCCCCGCCGAGCCGCCCGCGACGCTGCTGCGGCGCCCGGGGCTCCGCTCGCCTCCGAGCGGGAGGAAACTTGCAGGGAGCTGCGGGGAGAGAGGGCAGCGGGGCTGGGCTGGGCACACCGGGCTGTCCTCCCCGCGCCGCGAAGCATCGAGCACCTCTTGACGTTGGTGTCTCCCTGCAGGCCACCCTCAGTGCACGGGCTCCCTGCTGCCCTTGCTGTACGAGCTGTGGAAGGGGATAGCGACGCCTAAGCCATTGCCATGGATTTTGTCATGAAGCAAGCCCTAGGAGGTAAGTGCAGTGGGCACCAGGGGAACCCCCTCTCTCCAGGGATGGAGCTGCTTGAGGACCCCACAGCATCCCCATGTCCATGTGCCTGAACAGTGTGAGCAGGAGAGGGCAGCAACATGCGGGGAGCAAAGCCATGTGTCACCCGTGAAGGACACCCTGAGTCGTGCCCTGCTGGGCAGAAGCCACCACCTCACTGGGTGGCTCTGCGTCCCCCCCGCAGCAGCAGCCCTTGGGACATCCGCAGTGTGCGCTCAGATCAGCGCAAGTCCTGTGGGCAAGAGGCCGGGCTCAGTGTGTGTGGGAAGCCCTTTCCCTCCCTGCTCCAAACTTTGACCACACTGAAATGCAGGCAGATGTTTTTGTGTGCAGAGGTGTTTTTGATGCAGTGAGCTGGGGAATTGTTATAAATTAACCCTCAGCACACCCTGACCTGGCCTGGCAATTAGGTAGACTTATAGTGTAATTTTAGGATATTTCCTTCCGTGGGCAATGAGTTGTTCTTAACTGAAAAGTAAGGGGTTATGGGGAAAGAAGTGTATGTGGGCATGAAAAGGAAAACAATAGTGAAGTGCTTGTGAATGAGATCCCCTCTTTCAGTTGCAGTTCTGGGTGTCTTGGGCTTTCTGGGCTGGAATCCCAGAAAGGGTCTGGAATCTGTAGATTCACCCACTTTTCCCATAGTATCTAGTGTATGTGGGGTTTTATTTGTTTGTCTATTTTCCTATTCATTTCCTTGGGAGAAATTGTAGAGTCATTGGACTCAGGGTACGTTTTGTGTTTGCTTCATGTGTGATTTTACTGATATCCTACTTAGATTTAGTGTCTGACAGACACTTTGCTGCAGGAGTCTCCCCATTGGCACAAAACCAAGGTTTTCATCTTCAAAGGGAGGGGAACCGTTCTCTCCTTGTAGGGAATGGTCTCAAGATCTCTCAATAAAAAACAGAACAAGCATCCCAAGCTTCAGCTGGGGTGTTTTTGAAGGTCAAACCATAGAAGAAAGGTTCTGCTTTAATTGCACATAATAGCAGGATTAAAGCTATATTAAAGCTATGATATGTGTCCTTATGGTAGTACTTTTCCTTTTCATTACTCTTTAGTGCCTGTTCTGAAAGAGAAATAATTTTGTGCAGGGCAGGCTGTGTGCCATTAGCTATGGCGTGCATGAAGTTGCTTACACCAAGGAGAACAAGTGTACTTACAAATGTGAGATCGAAGCCGTGCTGCTGGAGGTGGGAAAATCCGCCAAAGGGAAATAACTGCTCAGAGACTGCAGCTAAAGGCAGGGGGAGGAGGGTTGCAGCACAGGAGTAACAACTGTGATGCATGCCTTTTTTTGCGGCTTAGTGACGAGCAGGAGCTGGAAGCGGCGCTTGCCCTTGCTAAGGAGCGTTTACTCTGGGCAGGCATCCACGCTAACACAACATTGCCTGTCAGGGTCAGGCTTTGCACCATAGCAGTAGCTGCTGAGAAACCAAGTTCAAAAAGATCTGTTGGTGGGTTCAGGAGCTCAGAGGTCTGAAGAAAGATGTGTGGGGAACTAGCTCATATTCCTGGATCTTGCCCGCTCACTTGACACTGGAGGAGTCTCTGCAGGGTGGTAAAAAACAGAAAATGCTAATTAAGCAGAGACCTATTTTTGTGTTGCACGTGGTTTCAAAGTGGGAAAATGGATATTATCAGGGTGGATTTACTCTGAACAGTCAAGGTGCTCTTGCGCACTGGTTTCCTGAGGGTTAAATTCTTAATTGATCCAATGATGTGACCTGTCTGCATTGGCATTGCAAGACAGGCTGCAGTCCAATTTCTTAATTAATGGGTCCAGATCCGTCTCTGCATGGGCAATACATCAGTCCTGACAGCCTGGGATGCACGGAGGCGCGTGCACAGAGAGGAGCACGCAGGCGTGGGCGGGTGCCAGGCTTGCCTGAGGTAGGCTTTGGGTCACCTCCAGCTTGCAGGGAATCAGGCTTGCTACATCCTGCCTGCTGGCCACCTGCAGCTGTGACAGCTTAACCCTTTCATGACTGCACACCCACCTGGGGACACCTTCACAGGGCTGCTGGGTGTCTTTGCCTAAGCACTGTGTGTGTGGTGATTTCATCGCAGCATCAAAGTGGGACTTAGACCAGAGCTTGTCACGACCAAGAGCCTGACACTCACTTGCATCTTTGGCTGGGAGAACTCCTTCCAGGGTTCTGAAGTCATAGAAGACTCTTCTTGAGGAAGGCAAGTCTCAAATGTTACTTCAATAGATATAAATTATAGCTGTAGTAGTAACACACACTGTGGGATTTTGGCCACTGCCTTTGAAGCAATCCCTGGAGACATTTCCTCTCTCTAGCAGTATCTAACAACAGACTTGCTTTGCCTTGGATTATTTCTGGTCAGAGAGGGAAATGTCAGGAAAGTGCTTTGAAAGGGGATTTGGCCTTGGCCACATCAATTTGGCAAGAAATTGCATTGCTCATGCAGGACATTGTCTTTCCTTGTGTCTGAGTGGAGGATGTTCGATGATGCCTGCAGCTTTGCAGAGGAGGCTGCAGCTCATGAACAGTGTGGTGCAGCAAGAAGGAACTAGCTAGGAGAAATCGAGGGACTTCACATGATGTTATGTCCTCTATGTCCAGAGGAACAGGGAAGATAGCAGAGGGATGTTCTACCTCCCTGGCCTCTCCAGGTCCCTGCTGCACTAGCATGCGTTTAGCTTTGGTGATTGCTTGTTTCTCCTGCTTCTGTGAAGGACCAGAAAGCTGTGGGTCAGCAAGCTCAGTAAGCAAACAGACTTTTTGCATGGTTGCATTTTGCAGCAAAGATGCAAAGATACTTAGCAAACCAGGTCAGAGCCCTGGAGCATTGGCCTCACGAGTGTAGACCAAAATAGGAGACTTCCACAGGAAAAGGCTGTAGGTAGAGGCCCTTAAATGGCCCCTTGAGGAATTTACTCATGGTGCTTTTCACTGGGCATGGTTTAGTGTTGCTGTGACTGTCTCTGTGAAAGCAAGGTGAAGCAATGGATGCCTTCACAATGTACTGCCTCATCGTATATTATTACACAGTTCATTTCCATCATCACTGATGGGGAAAGCCCACCTGGAGGTTGGGAGATATTTGCCTCATATGAGGTCATGATGGGGTCAACAGAAGCTCCTTAGAGTGGGGTCCAGGCTTGCAGAGGCCTGAAGGCTGCAGAGACAAGGCTAAGCACAAGTAGCCAGTCACAACAGCTCCAAATCATTGCTTGACATGGTGTGGTGCATTATACGGACCTTTCACTGTGCTCCTTTTAGCCCCACAGACAGGAGGACAGTGTAGCTGGGATGCCTTCTTTAAGTAGTGAATTCTTATCTCAGCCTGCTGGTGAACCATGCAATGCATTTCATATGTAATGATGCACATGAGTGGCACTACCCGAATTCCTTTCATAGGATGGTTGTAGCCCTTGAGTTTATTGTACATGAGGACTCCCCTCATTCTCAAAGGTGGACCAGCGTGTAAACCCTGCTGAGCATCAGGGCATCTGAGCCACTGTCTATAAACTCTGAAAAAGCAGTCCCTATAGGTCCCAAGCTTATTTTAGCTAAGATGCAAGTATGTGTTGATGGTCTTTCATTTTAGAGCCAAATCATGAAGATTGGAGTTTCTTGGAGGCAAGAGAGGAGGTCTCCAGCCCACTCTGTTATTTGGTGGATACTTGAAATCCATCTACTTTTTGTCCTGGACATCTTTTGTCTAAATTCTTAATCCATTAGGGCTGTAAAATGAAGGCTGCAACTTCAGTCTGTAGCATGGTTGTGCTATTACCTTTTGATCTACTTCTTTTATTTGCTACTTTGGTTATGTGCATTTTAATGATATTTAGAAGATGAAGAAGCAGCACTAATCTCTGGTGGATCTTTTTTATTTATTTATCTATTTATTTATTTATTTATTCAGAAGGAATGGTTTTAATGGCTTTATTTTTTTTTCTGATCTATAATGCTGGCAGAGATTTTGTATGAGAAATCATTCCATACAAAGATATATCATAACGTTTGTTGCTAGGACCTGAATAAAAGGAAAATCACAGTCTTAACCTCAAGAAAATTGCATATAGATGTCTTAGTTCCTGACAAAACACGAGTTACATAGCTTCACAAGACAAATTAATTTATACCAGCTCTGGTATAAATTGTTCATTTATTTGATGCCAGATCCTCCAATGGCTACCAGTAAGATTTGAATTGTTCTTTGGGAATTTTCTTTAAAACTGTGGTGGAAGATGTTTTCCAAGGAAGATCATGGAGCGTGAAGATATTACCAGTTAAGCCACTGTAATGCTAGCTGCTTAGTTTTGATTTGATCCATGATTTGAATCAAGAGGAGGAGGAGAATTGGCAAAATCCAACATTTTTTTTCTTGTGTGCGTTTGCTTTCAGGAAATCTCCCATTATATTTGCTTGTCTCTATTGGGGCCATTGAGGCTGGAGCTCTTCTGTTTGGCATAGCTGGTATGGGAAGCAGATCATGTTTATTCATTATCGTTGAATGAGAGTAGAAACACGCTCATTCTAGATATACAACATGAAACACTGAACTGACACTCAACACTGGGTTGTCCTAATGAACACGGGCTTCCCGGGAACCTACATGGTATGGAGGTGTGGAAAAGGAAGAAGCTTTCCCTCTTACAAGAGGGAGAAAGGTAGAAATGAGGAAACTTAGCATGCATTAAGGGGCTCATTTAGTAGTTAGCTGTGGTAAAAAAAAAGGCCCAGTCAATATCTATGTCTTTTTGTTTGGACATGGTTTAGGGAAGATCTCTATCTCTTGTTCCTCTTGTTCTTTGAAGGAAGCTCTGCATCCTTTTTCTTGCAAGATCTGTTGCAGCATGCAAGAGCCTTTGGCTTTTTTTTTTTTTTTTTTTTTTTTTTTTTTTTGGTGGTGGAAATGAAAACTGGCCCTCATGCAGGCTGGAGAGAAGTGCAAGCTCTTGCCAGCTGTGTAGTATCAGGACAAAT